CAATGGCTGCGCCCGCATGCGGTTCCACCCCCCATTCTGGCACACCCCTCACACGTTTCGTGGCCCCATAGGGAGCTCCACCGAAGGCCCCAGTGGCTGCGCCCGCATGCGGTTCCACCCCCCATTCTGGCACACCCCTCACACGTTTCGTGGCCCCATAGGGAGCTCCACCGAAGGCCCCAGTGGCTGCGCCCGCATGCGGTTCCACCCCCCATTCTGGCACACCCCTCACACGTTTCGTGGCCCCATAGGGAGCTCCACCGAAGGCCCCAGTGGCTGCGCCCGCATGCGGTTCCACCCCCATTCTGGCACACCCCTCACACGTTTCGTGGCCCCATAGGGAGCGTGGCCACTCCACCGAAGGCCCCAGTGGCTGCGCCCGCATGCGGTTCCACCCCCCATTCTGGCACACCCCTCACACGTTTCGTGGCCCCATAGGGAGCTCCACCGAAGGCCCCAGTGGCTGCGCCCGCATGCGGTTCCACCCCCCATTCTGGCACACCCCTCACACGTTTCGTGGCCCCATAGGGAGCTCCACCGAAGGCCCCAGTGGCTGCGCCCGCATGCGGTTCCACCCCCCATTCTGGCACACCCCTCACACGTTTCGTGGCCCCATAGGGAGCTCCACCGAAGGCCCCAGTGGCTGCGCCCGCATGCGGTTCCACCCCCCATTCTGGCACACCCCTCACACGTTTCGTGGCCCCATAGGGAGCTCCACCGAAGGCCCCAGTGGCTGCGCCCGCATGCGGTTCCACCCCCCATTCTGGCACACCCCTCACACGTTTCGTGGCCCCATAGGGAGCTCCACCGAAGGCCCCAGTGGCTGCGCCCGCATGCGGTTCCACCCCCCATTCTGGCACACCCCTCACACGCTTCGTGGCCCCATAGGGAGCTCCACCGAAGGCCCCAGTGGCTGCGCCCGCATGCGGTTCCACCCCCCCATTCTGGCACACCCCTCACACGTTTCGTGGCCCCATAGGGAGCTCCACCGAAGGCCCCAGTGGCTGCGCCCGCATGCGCCCCCCCCATTCTGGCACACCCCTCACACGCTTCGTGGCCCCATAGGGAGCTCCACCGAAGGCCCCAGTGGCTGCGCCCGCATGCGGTTCCACCCCCATTCTGGCACACCCCTCACACGTTTCGTGGCCCCATAGGGAGCTCCACCGAAGGCCCCAGTGGCTGCGCCCGCATGCGGTTCCACCCCCATTCTGGCACACCCCTCACACGTTTCGTGGCCCCATAGGGAGCTCCACCGAAGGCCCCAGTGGCTGCGCCCGCATGCGGTTCCACCCCCCATTCTGGCACACCCCTCACACGTTTCGTGGCCCCATAGGGAGCTCCACCGAAGGCCCCAGTGGCTGCGCCCGCATGCGGTTCCACCCCCCATTCTAGCACACCCCTCACACGTTTCGTGGCCCCATAGGGAGCTCCACCGAAGGCCCCAGTGGCTGCGCCCGCATGCAGTTCCACTTCCATTCTGGCACACCCCCTCACACGTTTCGTGGCCCCATATGGGAGCTCCACCGAAGGCCCCAGTGGCTGCGCCCGCATGCGGTTCCACCCCCCATTCTGGCACACCCCTCACACGTTTCGTGGCTCCATAGGGAGCTCCACCGAGCGCCCCAGTGGCTGCGCTCGCATGCGACTCCGCCCCCCCATTTCGGCACACCCCTCACTCGTTTCGTGGCCTGGGGGCGCCACCGAAGAATATATCCACACTTGCGGTATTCACAACTACGTATGGTTGGGTCTTTCGTCAGGCTAATTTTTGGTTTCGTGCGTGTGTTTTGTTCTGCCAGGTGGTCGAGGATGCTCCTCGATGGTCCTCGCCGCGAAAGAAAATGCACGCGCCCGAGGAGGAGGAGGAGGAGGAGAAGGAGGACAAGGAGGAGGAGGATAATGAGGAGGAGGGAGGAGGGAGGAGAAATGAGGAGGAGGAGGAGGAGGAGGAGGAGGGAGGAGGAGGCTGGAGAGGGGGCGGGGGGAGCGCGCACGTGCTGGCAGGAGGAGGGCGGAAAGGGGGAGGAGAGGCAGGCGAGGCTCGGCCGAAGCGGGGGGGGGAAATTGAGAGGGAGAAGTAAAGGGGCCCTGGGACACGCAAATAAATGCACACACAAATAACAGGATTCCCCACATTTACCAATGTTTTCGGGGTGGTTGTCTTCCCCCCCCCCATTCCCCTGTTTTCCTATAATTGTGTCTGAGTGTGCTTTTTTTCCTCCTGAGAAGCGAGGGGGGAAGTGAGAAGGAGAAGGCGCCTTCTCAGAAAGCGGCGGTGTTTCTCAGAGGCCCTCGGGCCTCCTGACGGGTTCTGCATCCTCGGGGCAAGCTAAGAAAGCTTCTCAGAAGGGCGGGGCAGTTCCGAGTCTTCTGAGAACGTCTTCTCCTTCTCGTTTCCCCTCTCGCTCGCCGCCGAGAGGTGTGTGGGGAGGGGGGGAGGGGACGGGGGCAACGAAGCAGCGTCAAACGAAGCGAGTGCCTTGATACTGTCTGGTGTAGGAGGGGGGGAGCTGGCACAGGTTGCGGAAGTAACATCTTGCCAACGCAATGCAATGTGGGACTGCGATCCTCAGTGTCAGATCGGGCATGCCCTCCTGCGGGCGGATCTTGGGCGAAAATAAGAAGAGAGTAGTCAAATCATACTCCAAAGTCGTAAGAACTAGTCGAGCAATCGTCCCCAGACTCTCTCATTAGTTTGGAATGTTCCTCCTTGAGAGGGACACGCCCGACTTCGATGCTCAAAATACCTTTTACGCGAGCCTTCTGGCGCGCCGTGCCCTGCGAGCTGGCAGCGTGCCGCTCTGCCTCGAGGGAACGGGCGGAGCCGGAAAACTTACGGTGATGGCTGAAGGGGCCCCAGGACACACACATAAATACACACACATAAAACGATTCCCCATATTTTCCTATATTTTCTGGGTTTTCGTCTTCCCGCTCACTTCCCATATTTTCCCATATTTTCCTGGGAGTGGACGATTAATTGTGTCTGTGTGTTTTTTCTCCTTCTGAATGGCATCGGATAAGGAAATCTTGAATCAGGAATCCAGGATGTAAGATGCCTCGAGGCGGCCGGATATATGGCCTGCAGACAGGCCAAGATGCCACCAAAAGGCCACAAAAGGAGCACCAAGAGGTACGATAACAGCAACGAAGCAACAGGGACGATGTCGAGCGCCGTGTCATGATTCGGACAAGCCTCGTGAAATGCAGTCCTGGAGGCGCAGTAGTTTATATAGGGGTCGGCGGATGTGGCGTAAGCCTACAGAATCTTGGATAAGGAATCCAGGGTATACGGTGATGGCACTGGATAAGGAAACTTTGGATAAAGAGTACAGGGTCTGGAAACCAGTGGACAGCCAATCGTGGGTTGGCCACGAATCTCACCGCCGCCCTCATCAGGTAAGGAACCCTCTAGGGTCTGGAGCCTCCTTGGCACGTTCCTTAACCAATGCCTCCACCGTATGAGCGACGATCGAAAGACGTGTCACACGCGAGATGGCATGGAACAGAAAGGTCTCACGCGAGATGGCATGGCGACCTCACGCCGCGGCTCACGTGGGCCGCCAGTGCGGCACGCTACGTTGGAAACGAGGGCGCTCACTGGCGAGATCTCACGCGGGCAGCTTACTCGCCAATGTCGGCGCAGACGACCCCGGTTTTTGCGTCGCTCCTATAGCGTTGATGCTTGAGCTCGCGTCGAAGCGTGGTGGGCCTAAACGCGAGGCGCGTTTTCGGAGGTTTTGCTTTCGTTTTCCCTCGTTTTGTCTTCAATCCGCCTTTGCCGCAAAACTAAGTCGAAACGAAAACGGCCCACGAAATCGCCAAAACATCGTTTAGGTCCAGCCCTGGGGTACCGTCTCCTTCGGACTCGGAGCACCCATTCCCACCTAGGGGGGAGCACGCTGGGAGAGCCAACTTACCCTGCCCCCGGGGGGGTGGGCGGGAGGGTGGGGGATAGTTCCGACGATGATGGATAACGTCGCCAGCTCCCAAGGGTGATTTGCACGCGGCCACCCTCCCCAGGGGACCCAGGAACAGTCCATGGGAGGGTGCCCGTGCAAATTCTCTTGTGGCGGAGAGCCGGGCCCATGGAGCCGCCGCCCTGGCCCGCACTCCGCCCGGGACCGAGCGGAAGGAATCCCGACTGCGCGGGATCAGGCCGGCGTCAAACTTTTGCGTCGCAGCGCGGCAGGAGCGATCCGCACGCGCGTCGGGGCGAGACCGGGACGCGGCACCGCGCATTGGCCCGCATGCAGGAGGAGGGGCACGAAAGCTGGCTTCAAACAGAAGTGTGCCAGATTGGGCCAGTTTCGGAAATTCCAACATGGAGATATCAGCGCCGATAGCAAAGTGAACACCTCAAGGGTTACATCCTCACATAATGCAGACTTTGAAACGAACGGCCTATGAGGCAATGGCAGCATCACGGCACAAGAGCAGGTTGTATTGGCCAGGGATATCTGAGACTCGGTGGGTCCCAGCACGTCTCGAGCGCTGCCGACATTCCAGATTGCTCCAGAATGCTCCAGAAAACCCTGCGACTTATCCGAATTATCCTCATCCTGCGCTAAGGGGGGACGATGGAGAGACCAGCTCAGGGGGGACATATTCGAACTGAAAACTGCGATTCCTCGCCGAGAGGTCGGCGATGTAACCACGATCGCGAAATCCCTCTTCCCTTGGCGGAGGCGGCTATCTGGCTCCCATGGGCGATTGACGGTCAATCCATCCTCCCCTGAGAATATCCCCCCCTGTCGTTGCCCCTGGTATGCCTGCATGAGCGATACCCGTACCCCTAACCCTTTGGGAGGGGACATAAGTTAGGAGGGCCAAGAACATTAGGGATAAGGATCCTTTGTTGCAGATGTATCAGACTCTCAGACCAAACCGCCCAGACTTCATATCTGCAATGCGAAGACGATGACCTAAAATGGGCCACGACTTCATCATGATATTAGGATTAGGGTTAAGGGTTGGTCTGTTCTCGATGACCCGTGGTCCCACTGCGGCATGATGCCGTCCCGAAAGAGCATGAGCGCGTCAACCGTCTGGAAGCTGTCGGCGGCGTCGTTCACCATCGCCTTGCCGAGGAGCTCGGAGGGCTGCGGCAGCCGCCCCCACACGCCCCAAAACTCCTGGGAAGAGGCCGAAAAGGGGTGAACAACAAAAACAGCACGCCGCCGTACAGAATCCTACCACCAAGCCAATGGGGTGCATCCTGCCACTGTCGTCCTGGACGGGGAAGTGAAGTGTCACGAGATGCGCGGCTGTGAGCTGCTCGACGGCTCGGAGCTGTGGCTCCTCCCTTCCCTCCGCCCCATCTTCCTCCCCCTTAGCCGGCAGGGGCGGACGGGGCCCCTGACTCCGGATTACTTACTTTCCCCAGGATGGGATAGTGACCGCTGCTGCCCCCCGTGGAGGGTGGGACGCTCCGAGAAAAAGTGCTACCACCAGGTCATCGGGTGAAAACAAAGATCATGTCAATCAAATGCTCTTCCCCTCCCGATCTAGGAACCTCCAGAGGGCGCAAAGCAACGGCACCTCGCTGGCACACCGTCGACACATCGCCGACGGAGGATCCGGGTCCCAAAGCAAGTGTCTCCTGAACAGCGTCAGGCAGTGATGCCCCCATGTACGAGGTGCAAACAACTTCAAGGCGGTACACCCCCTTGACACCATGATTATCGTTTCCTGTCGTGAACTCCCAGAACTCTCGACCCGTTCCCTGGGGCCGGTTCATCCATCGGAGTTGGACAGGCACCCGCTTAGCAGAACACCCCTCAGTGAAAACCATCGTTGACCCAAATGCCGCGGGCTCATGCAGGCCCGCAAAAAAAAATGCGGCCACAACGCCCTCGCAATAATCGAAACATATCACTTCGCCGATCAACTTTGGAGGGTTGCTGTATACATATATATATATATATGTATATATATATATATATATATATATATATCCACCTCCGCATCCGAGGTCGTCTTCGGACGGCCCCGGGGCCCACGAGCGGTCTAGAATGGCTGGATAGAGGGAACCCACAACAAGCCTTCGCGCCCAGACACGCGCATGAAATACGGCCCCCCGGTCCTCGAAGCCAGCCCCGCGTTCGGGACGCTCGCGCGTCGCATAGCTCCCGAAAACCAGCGAACTACGTCATCTGTCGCACCTGAGAAATTCATCACGGGTTGGCCGAGCCGCCAAAGTCCAGGTCAATCACCAATTTGCACCTGATGCCTCCCCCGGCCATGCACCCCCCGCCCGTTGGCCTCAAGAGGTCCCCAAGAAGCCCCCAAGAGGCCCCCCAGACGCCAGGGCCGTATGCAATCGCCTTCTCCCCCTGCCCCTCCGCCTCCTTCTCCTCCTCCTCTTCCTCTTTCATCCGTGGCAATATGATCTGATGTTATCCGCCGACCCCTTGGGGATTATCGGCGTGTGAGATGCTCCCCCCTCCCCAAACCCCTCCCCCGGGAGCCCAGTCCGGTCGATTTGGAGGGGGGAGGGGGGTGCCCGGGGTGCCCCCGACGAGCGCGCCACGGGCTCTACCGGGCCCAAGAGGGCTTAAAGATGAGCCAAGAAGGCCCCAAGAGGGTTCCAAGACGGCCCACGAGGGCCCCGGGACGCTAAACGAGCGCTCCAAGACGCCCAAGATGGCCCCAAAACGGGCCAAGAGGCCTCCAAGACGACCCCAGAGGTCCCAAACAAGCCTCCCAAGAGGGCCCCGAGAGGCTAAAATTGTTGATTGTTCATTGTGTTTGTTTTTTGCCTTTTCGCCTTTTCGGCTTCCCGACGTTCCAAGACGGCCCAAGAGGCCGCGAAGACAGCCCCAAGACGGCCCAAGAGTCCCCCGAGACGGGCCCAAGACGGCCCAAGATAGCCCCAAGACGGCCCAAGAGGTCCCCAAGACGGCCCAAGAGGGCTCCAAGGCGGCACCAAGAGGGGCCCCAGAGGGCGACCAAAAATTCAAAACATCTAGCTTTCCGCCCCCAGGAGCCCCAGGGGGCCCCAAGAGTGCCCCAAGAGGCCGCCAGAGGCTCCCAAGAGGCCCCCAAGACGCCCCAAGGAGCCCCCAAGAGGCCCCAAGGAGGCCCCAAAAAGACCCCCAGAAGCTCCGAAACTGCTCCCAAGTGGCTTCAAAACTGCCTTCCAGAGGCCCCCGAGAGGCGTGGCGCGAGATCCCGATACACATGCAAGAAGCCTCTAACCTAGAACCATGACCCAGAGCCTCCTCTCTGCGCCCCCCTCCTCCTCCCGCTCCTCCTCCACCTCGGCCCCCAAGTGGCTTCAAAACTGTCTTCGAGAGGCCCCCGAGAGGCGTGCCGCGAGATCCCGATACACATACAAGAAGCCTCTAACCCATAACCCATAGCCCAGAGCCTCCTCTCTGTGTCCCCCTGCCTCAAAGTGCTGCCAGGAGGCCCCCGAGAGACCTACCAGGAGTCCCAAGGAGTCGGCGGTGCGGCGTAAGCCAAAGAATTTAAAACCGTTCGGAAAAGTATTGGCAACATGGCGGTCCAGAAGCCCCTCCCCGATGACAGAACCGTGGCGGTTCTGCATTTTTCGAAGAGGGCCCCAAGAAGACCCGCAGAGAGCCAAAACGGTGGCGCCAAGTCGACCTGTTCAACCTACCTTTTGACGACTCATACACCAAATGTCCCCGCCCTCCCCGCACCCTCGAAAGGGATGCAAGGCGGCTGCCGCACGGTATGCGTCTGCGCTGCCCTCATCGAGGCAACTCACCTAGCGGTCGTGTCTAGGTGGGCTGGTGGGGAGACGCGAAAACCTCAAAATCCTCCTCCTCCTCCTCCTCCTCCTCTCATGCTCCTCCTGCTCCTCCTCAACCTCCCCCTCCTGCTCCTCCACCCTCCTCCTCCTCCTCCTCCTCCTCCTCCTCCTCCTCCTCCTCCTCCTCCTCCTCCTCAGCCGCCCCGAAGGAGAGCCTGAGCTGGATCGAGCCCGGAGCACACCTCGAATGGGAACCGGATCGCCGCGCCCGGCCCTGGCTGGCCGATGCCCCCCTGTGCAGGAAGGTGTTACGTTCTGGATCCACGATTGAGTCGGGCCTGTCCCCCTACAGATCCCAATCCCACTGGGGAGACCTTGGCCTCGCTGGGCAATCTACCACCCCCTGGGTGAGGATAGGTACCGTCTCCTGCGGATTCGGAGCACCCATCCCCACCTCGGGGGCGTACGCTGGGAGAGCCAACTTACCCTGCCCCGGGGGGTGGGGATAGTCTTAGGTCGGGCGTGTCCCCGTACAGGGGCATTTTGGGCGAACAATGAAAAGGACCCCCCAAATACTCCAAAAATGCTCAACATTAGTCAAAATATCGCCCCCAGACTATTTCATGACTGTTTTTGAATATTCCTCCTATAGAGGGACTTGCCCGACTTAAAGCTACGAGCTTCGCTCAAAGTCCGATTTGGCCTATGCGTCGTCCCAAGCTCAATTCTTCCGCGTCCTCCCTCCGCCAACGGCGCCCCCGCGGTGCGCGTCGTGTGCGAGCCACCAGCAGACTTTTTGAGTGCGCGCGCGGATGCATCAGCATCGGTTGGTGCGAGGCCACTACAACACATGAGCGTTGCAGACAACAGCGGGGTGATATTTGCTGGGAGAACTCCTGTCATAGATACCCTTCGGATAGAAGAAGAAACAACGACATAAGCATTAATATTTGGCGCTCTGCGCGGATTTCTTGGATGCGCGCTTGGACCCCCTCCCTGGCGCGCTGAGCGCGCCAGGGGCAGCACCCGGGGCGCCGCTGGGGGGGCCCAGCGCGGATCCAAGACATCCGCGCGGAGCGCCAACAGTTTATGTGTATGCTGCTTTATGCTGTTATCCCTCCTTCGATCGAACACTGACATGACGTTCTTTGGCGAATAGATCTGGAGCTGGGAAAGGGGTGTGGCCCAACGGGGTGTGGTGCCAACCGTGGACATGGAGATGCCATCCACGATCGATAACACTGCAAAGATTCGGCAATGCCACCACGCCCCTTTATGCCACACCCCTTTTCCGACCTCCAGGATTAATTATTTTGTTTTGGGAACCGAAATCTACATACCAAAGCTTTTTCCGGCTCCGCACCGAAGCTCGCACAGGAAAGCGGATCCTGGTGTATACGGGATCCTGGTGTATACATGTGTCGCCGTTTCCCCTGGACAGCGCGGAAACCAGTGTACACCACACGACCCCGACGTCGTCCCCGACCGTGAAAGGGTCGTGGGATTGAAGCACGGCCCGCCACTGGTAATGTGTATGTTCCAATTTCCGACTGTTGGCGCGGCCAGAAGCAAGGCTTTGGACGGCCAAAATGGGTACGGACAAAAATGTGTACAATGCCCAACAACACATGCTGTCCCAAACCAACAGCGGCCGCTGTTGGGCAGGCGGCCTTCTGTCTCGAATGGACACAGGCCGCGGCGGCGCGGACAGCGAGTCCTGTTCAAAATGAACAGAAACTGATGTTGGGCATTGTACCCATTCTTTCCGTATCCATGTCGGTCGTCCCGAAAGCCGGGTCGGGCGAAAAGGGGAGGGATAGCAAAGGGGGGGTTTGAGAATCAGCTCACGTAGCTGATGTTCCCGGCGCCTCCTGGCGCCGGAGGCGGCCATGTATCGAGGAATGGGCCCCTGGGTGGGGCCGAAACCAGCTGCGTGCAGCAAACTTCGTAACTCCCTCCCTTTTCCCAATCCCCCCCCCTGTCGTCCGGCCCGAGAGAGGCGGCCCCGGGAGCTCCTCCACGGTCCCGCACGAGGCCACCTGCCGCGTGGCCTCGCTGTACTGCGCGGCCTCCCGCCGGGGGGGCGGGGAGGCGCGAAAGGGCGCGGCAGGAGGAGGAGGAGGAGGAGAAGGAGGAGGAGGAGGAGGAGGAGGAGGAGGAGGGAGGAGGAGGAGGAGGAGGAGGAGGAGGGAGGAGGAGGAGGAGGAGGGCGGAGGAGGAGGAGGAGGAGGAGGAGGAGGAGGAGGAGGAGGAGGAGGAGCTCGGGCGCTCTCCTCGGGAGCTCGGGCCGCCCGCCCTCGGCGCGCGCGCGCGCCGGCCGGGAGCACGCACCGACCGCGCGACCCATCGGGCGCGCGCGCAGCGACCGCGACGACGCAGGGCCCCCTGGTGGAGCCAGCTGGGGCCCAGGAGGGGACCGACAGGGCCCCCTGCAGGGGCCCTCCTCTTCACCCCCCCAGGAGGGTCACCCCTCGGTGCCACCCGCTGTCATTCTCGGGTCGGGCGAAAGGGGGGATAGCAAAGGGGGGGTTTGAGAATCAGCTCACGTAGCTAGTTTTCCCGGCGCCTCCCGGCGCCGGATGGAGCTATATATCGAGGAATGGGCCCCTCGGTGAGGCCGAAACCAGCTGCATGCAGCAAATTTCGTAACCCCCCTCTTTCCCAATCCCCCCCTTTCGTCCGGCCCGACATTCGGCGTTTCGGCGCATGGGGCGGAAGTGGGGGGGGGGGGGCAGGGGGGGGGATCTGGCTCCTGACCTCTGCTCAGTGCGACTGGTTGCAACAGCGCGTCCTATGGGGGGGGGCTCCACCTGATCGAGACAGGCGCCCAAAGCAGCTGAGATCTACTCCATCAAGGGGGGGCGGGGTTGCGAGTGCCCGCGCTGATCGGAAAAACAATGAATACAACAACGATGACAAAAGGGTTCCCGGCAAGGGGGTGTTTCGTAATGCGGTCGCACAACAAGGTGCAATCCGTGCGCGGCCTAAACGGCCCCTAGCAAACCATCCCCTTCTGTGACGTCACCCTCGCCGTTGAAGCTTCCCTTCGGCCGCACACATACGCCTTCGGGCGAGGTCAGGGGCAGGTGGAGGAGGAGGAGGAGGAGGAGGAGGAGCAGGAGGAGCAGGAGGAGGAGGAGCAGGAGGAGCAGGATGGGGAGCCGGAGGAGGAGGAGGAGGACGAGGAGGAGGAGGAGGAGGCAGGTCACAGAGGGCGATGGTCTGCTAGGGGTCGGCCAGACCGCCCCCTGGACGAGCGGGGGCACGACCTGTGGCGTGCACCCTCGAACACCCCCCTGCAGAGGACCCGCCAACCCGCATTTGACCGAGAAGCACTGAGCAGGGACCGACCGCCCCGGCATTCCTCAAGGCCTACCACGACATGTTCTTAGAACCCAATCAGGTTCGTAGAACAAAAGCAACGCTCTTAGAACACAAGCATCGTGCGTCCAAACAAGACTGTCCCAGCCAAACATGTTCTACGACCATGTCGTGGAAACCACAGCAAGTTCTTAGAACATTGCTTGGTAGGACTATAGGCACGCCGGGACGCTTCGCCAATGCTTGACAGCACCGAGGCTGCAAGACTGCTCGCTCGTGCTCGCGCCGTGAAAGACCAAGACGGGGGGCTCTTCACCGTTGTCGGCTGCTGGGGGCCCTCACTGGGCCCTGGGACGTGCCGTCGCTCGGACGTCTATTTCCCGTGCATGTTTCAATTTCGTGCGTGTTTTTTTGCTCGATGGTCCAGGATGGTCCTCGATCGTTCTCGCCGAGAAAAAATGCACACGTCCGAGCGATGCCAAGGGGGCCGTCAAGAGCGAATCAGGATGAAATACTGGCCCCAGGAGAAGGGTCGGGACTTCTTGGGGCCCCGTCCTGGGGAAATCAAGACATCGCCTGTCTGGGAGCCTCCCAGGTACCCTCACGCCAGCTCGTGCGAGTCGACGCTAAAACGCGCGGCAGCGCACTCTAAAGATGGAATTGCGAGGAAACACAAGGCTCCCCTGATTTGCCACCCAGGACCAAGTGAGGATGGACACACTCACTCCTCAAGTTCCACTGCCCCCCAAGGTTCGGTGTCCGTTCCACGGGAGCCTGCTTGGCCCCCAGCGCTGTCCGATTTGGGCCTGGTTTGGACCAGATTTGAAACACGTTTGGGACCAGCTTTGGACCTGACTCGCCCCTCCATTAGACACACGAGAAGAAGGGGGGGGAGAAACACGAAGGGCGAGGAGGCGCAGGAGGACGGCCGAATGCGGTCCAGATGCAGGAAACGCTGGGGTCCATGTCGCTGGCCAAGGCTCCCATGCACATACATCGAACGTGCCTCATGATTTGAGCCAGGATCTCACCGAACAAAAACTTGCCTAGGTTACCCATCTGGGGACGCCAGCCATAATCGCGCTCGGACTGCTCAGCTGGGCGCGCCGCCGCAGAACTGCGCTCGGCACCCCGTCCTAGGCGCTGGCGCTCAAGATCACGCCTGACACCCGCGCCTCGACGCGCCAGTGAGGAGTCGCGGTCGCACTGCATGCGCAAGTGAACGCGCCCTTGCGAAGCCACGTTCGGGTCGGCCGAATCCACAGGACGGACCGAACATCGAGAGGCGACCGACCCGAGTCGAGCCGAGGGGTTCGGGTCGAGCGTCGAGTCGAGACGGTCGGGCGGCGAGGGCTCGATGGAGCCGAATCGAATCCTTTGGGCCGCATCGATCTAACCGAATCGATGAACTCGAATCGAATCGAACCCTTCGAGTCGGACCAGATGAATCGGGTCGAACGCCGGATCGATGGACCATATTCGAGTCGATTCGCTCCATCTGTTCGCACCAATCGATCGGACCGAACCGATGGAGTTGGGCTGTCGATCGACTGGATCGGGCAAACGAGGAGAGGAGCTGCCTGGGGAGAGTGCGCAGACCATCCGCCCCCAGAAGCGTGCAGAACTGAAGGGCTGAAGTCTGCAGGGATCGCGATCCCCAACCCCGACATCGTCAGCCCCGGGCCCCTCCTGGCGCCTCTTTCCAACTGCCAGGAGGCCGCCTGCACGAAGCGAATGCTCGGGCGCCGCGTCTGGGGCCTCGAGGATCGAGCGCGCGGTGCATCCCACCAGCCCTCTGGGCGTAAGTGGTTTAGCGTGCTTTCTCTTCCATCTTCCCCTCTTCCCCTTCGGGGAATGCCGTATCACTGTTCCCTGTCAGTGAACGCCCCCTCCCCAGGCGACGGGCAGCCAACCGGGACCAATGAGGGCCCCCCCCAACGACCCCTATCAAAAAAAGTGACATCCAAGTTGGGGCAGCATTTTGTGTCATGATCGGGGGGGGCGCGAGCACTGTGTAGTGTGTAGTGTTTGTCGGCAGGGACGGCGGGGGGTGGGGCGCATATCGCCTGCTGCGCGCAGGACCAGCATCCCTGTCAAAAGAACAATACAAGATGCACACCGAGACAGAAACTGGATCATGCGCGGGCACCTCGCGATCACTGCGAATTGACTGGGACAGCGGGTGTGCTGGCATACTGCCTGCCATGTGCAGGTCCACTAGACGCTATGATGGCAACCCCTTCCGCCATTGCGCACCGGTTTTCGACAAGGGTGGCAGGCGCACCTGAGGGGGAGGAGGGGGAGGGGGAGGAGGGGTGAGAGGAGGAGGAGGAGGAGGAGGAGGAGGGAGGAGGAGGAGGAGGAGGAGGAGGAGGAGGAGGAGGAGGAGGAGGAGGAGGAGGAGGAGGAGGAGGGAGGAGGAGGAGGAGGAGGAGGAGGAGAGGAGGAGGAGGACGCGGGGCGCTGTCTCTTCAAAACGAGGAGGAGGAAGCGGAGGAGGAGGAGGAGGAGGAGGAGGAGGAGGGGGAGGAGGAGGGGGAGGGGGAGGGGGAGGAGGAGGAGGAGGAGGCACGGGCTGCACGTGCCGCGCACGTGGCGCACCTGGCGCGGCCGGAGCATGCGGCTCAAATGGCGCACGTGGATCACGCGGCGCATCTAGCGTTAGGTCGGGCCTGTCCCCCTACAGGGAGATTTTGGACGGGAAAAAAAAACAAATAAAAAACACAAAAATGCTCAAAAATAGTCAAAACATGGTCCCCAGAGTATTTTCTGACTATTCTTGAATACGCCTCCTGTAAAGGGACAGGCCCAGCTTAAATCCAGCGCGCCCTTGGCGCGCGTGGCGCGCCTGACACGCCTGGCGCACCTCGCCCCAGCGTTCCGTACGTGGGGCCTGGTTTGGCTCCCAGCAGCTGCCCATCCCAAGCACCCAATGTGCTGGGAGAGATCGGGTGGGAGTGAGCGAGATGGCCTGCGGGCGGGCAGGGTGCCCTGACCCATCCCCTTCACCCCCTCCCCCTGGACCTGGACGGGGCGGCCCGCGACCGATTGGAGCGTCCAAGATGGTACAAGATGGCTCCACGCGGGCCTCAGAGAGCGCAAACACCTCTCAGAAGGCCCGAGGCCTTCTGAGACGCCCCGCCGCCTTCTGAGAAGGCCTTCTCCTTCTCACTCCCCACTAGCTCACCGCCGATCCTACCCCTGGTATCGACAAGCACATGGCGATGGCGATCTCAGGGACGTGCTCTCAGAAACTGCGGGAGCCCTCAAGATCGGGACCTGCCAAGGGTGATGGCAACTGCAAGCATAGGGGCACAAACGTGTTCGGGGCTGCCATGCCGCACCCCGAATCCGACGCGAAGAACCCCTGGCCGGGCGAGCCTTACCGCTGGCCATCAGCTGCTGCCACACGATCCAGCGGTACCGCAGCGGGTGCTCGGCCGAAGCCGCCTCCCCGCCCCCGGGGGCGGTGCAGGCATCGCCCTCGTCGCCTATCTCGTCGGCGGTGGAGACGGAGGGGTTGAAGCTGAGGAACACCTGGGATGATGGTCAAGCTGTCCACCACCACTACCAACGGTAGGAAGGGGGAGAAAGGAGGATGGGGAGGTCCTCCTCCTCCTCCTCCTTCATCTCCTCCTCCTCCTCCTCCTCCGCCTCCTCCTCCACCTCCCATCTATGGTAGCGGTGGTGGGAACTCGGCGCATCATGGGAGGGCCGCCGGCCACGCGGGATCGGGCGGGCCGCGCGGCAACGCCCAGGCCTGCCAGTGGGGCCCGAGGCGCCCTGGCGAGGTCAAAGCCGCAGCTTCCGACCGCATCTTTCGTTTGGAGTCCCGAGACGGTGCGGTGACAGACCGTGCGGTGACCTCGGAACCCCCAGAGACCTCACCGCACGGTCCGTCACCGCGCGGTCCTCGGGACCCCGGAGGCCCCGGTCGCCCGAGACGTCCTCGAAGAGAGGGACCCGAGCCCCGAAGCCGTGCGGCGACCCCGGATCCCCACCCGACTCACCGCACGGTGTTTGGTCACCGCCCCGCTTGGGGCCTCCCGAGTTAGGCTGGACCCCTTGAGATAGAGCCGGATCTCCGATAAGTGTGTGTGTGCGTCCTGTATTCTTGCATCGCGGCATCAAGCTGCTGCGCGGCGACGTGGCCGGCCTTGGCAGCGATTGGCGTCCTCGATCTATACGCTCTGACCCAATCTCGCAACCCTCTCAGACTTGAGCTTCGAGCATTGATGTGTATCGCCGGGCGCGTTCCACTACCCGCAGAGTGCCTACTCGCAAACGTCCGAAAAGAACACGTCTGCTTCAATGTAATTCCTCGTAGATCCCCCCGGCAGATCCAGGCCATCTGCGAGTAGTCACTTTGCGAGTACTGGAACGCGCTCGTCGAGTATAGCTGCGGTGGATAGTTTCGTTTTGGTTGCAAGCGTCGCAACCCGGCGCTTCCCAACGCGTCCTGCTGGATGCACGGCCGACCGAGCGAGCGAGCGGCGTTTCCTTCGCTTCGGGCCCGGACCATCAAACATGGATCCGAGACAACAACTAGAAAGGGATCAGAAGCTTTGGGGAATTCGAAGACTTGCATCGGAGGATGCCTGGAGCTGATCCCAGACGGGGCATGGAACAATACAGCAACCTGACTGCACGATAGTAGATACATATTAAAGAGCAGACGTAACCGCAAAGTATAAAACAATGTTTTAGAGTCACGACCACATCACCATGCCCACTTGAGCGACGCGCTGCCCGTCAATCTTAACGATTTCACGATGGAGTAGTATTGAGCTGTACTTCGCAAGCTGAAAGAGTGAGAAGCCGCCCGCCCCGATGATGTGCCTCCAAACGTCTGGAAAGTGTGGGTGCGGTACTTCACGACGGGCATACCACAGGCCCATATCCTTACTTGCAGCGGGCTACAGAACTGTGGCAGCCCTACTTCACCGACTGCTCCTGCACGGCGGAGCAGAACGACGACTTCGACACTCTCGATGCAAATTGAGACCAGGGAAGGGCACTTCACCCGGACCCGACCCGGACCCAGACCCCTCCCAAAGACCATCTGGTGCAATTTTTCACCAACGATCCGTTTTTGACCGTCCCGGGGCCGATAACGGACCCAGACCCTCGAAACAGTGCCAGGCCATCTCAGAACCGTAGCCGACTCCACCCCTGGACCTTCCAGGAAGGCCAGAAAATAGCACGAGGACCTGGACGTTCATGTTTTATGCAACCCTGGTGGGTCTATACGTCTGGATGCCTACTTTTTTCAGCACTCTACAGCAAAGTTAGGGAGATTTGGACGCACCCCACGATTACGGAAGCTACAGTGCGGCGCAAATTATTTGAAGCTCGGCTGGTTTTGTTGGTTAAGGGGCATCTGTCAGATGGCCCCGGGGCCAGATAACAGGCCCCAGAGAAATATGTTATGAACATGTTTTAAACATGGTTTCTTTTAACATGTTTAAAACATGTTTAACGCATGTTTAGACATCGGGAACAGTATTTGGCAACATGCTTCCTCTCCATTGATCGTCCTCCACGAACATATCATGAGAGTCTGGGTCCCTCCCCATGCGAAGGCACGCTTGGGCAAAATTCTCCCCCCTTCCCGTGGCACCATCCTGCCAGGCTTAAGTCGGGCATGTCCCCCATACAAGGAGATTTTAGACGAAAAATAACAAACACCTCAAACATACTGTAAAAAGGTTGAAGCAACAAAAATACCCCAAAAATCGTCCCTAGACATTTTTTGACTATTTTTGAACATTCCTCCTGTAGAGGGACAGGCCCGACTTAATGCCAGGCGGCGCTCCCCCATCGCATACACCCGACGTGGTGACTTTCCAGGACATGGATCCCAGAGGGAAGGTTTGGACCTCTCCCAAGGGCACCCGCTTCTAGTCCAGAGCCGCTTCTTGACGGTCCGAGGGCCTGGCAAAGCCCCCCCCCCGAAGTCCGAAGGCGATGCGAAACTTCGAGCGCCATGCCTGCTTTCCCACGACGCGAAAATCAAAGCTTGGAGGCCTTTTTCTTCAGCACCCTAGATGCGAGGCAAGGATTTATCCATGTCCACCGCCTGGGAACCGACGTCCTGGTGCCCCAGCGGGCGGTGGATATGGACATATTCGGCCCCTGGGGGCCCGAATATGTCCATATCCACCGCCTGCCGAGGCTCCGAAACCTGACCCTCCAGACGGTGGTCATGTATAAATTCCCGCCTCGGACTAGAGGGTTAGGGAAATTGAGACGCCCCCTCCTCCCCTCCCCAGACCCCCGACGGCATGATCTTCTCAGAGCGTCGGCCCTCTCAAGGGTCACGTCCCGTTCCCCTGGACCGGTTTTTCATCCTGAGTCGTGTTGTTGACGGCCCCGAGGCCCAGCACAGGGCCCCCCGTCATGATTTTTTAAATACCCATCGGTCGGAAGAAGTAGGTAGAAACATGAAGTAGGAAGGCGTTGAAAATAGATTGGGTCTCCGCCCGCCCCCTAAAGACGACGGAAAAGGTGAAGCCGCTCGATCCTTGAAGTAGGAAGACGCCTAAAGTAGATTGGAATCTGGGATTCTGAAACTACCCACTTTCAACGACCGATGGGTACCCGAGGGGGTCTGCAGAGGCCTCCTGGAGGGAGTCCGCACAGATGGGGTCGAGGGACCGCGACGCATCGCCAAGGCCTCGCTGGAGCATCGCCGCTGCACCGGCGATGCACCGGCGATGCATCGGCGATGCAGCGGCACCACTGACGTGGCGAAAGCCGGGCTCTGCAAATCGAGCGGCGTCGCCGGTGCATCGACGCTGCGGCGCAGTCCACCGACCACATCTGCACCGACGCCATCTGGGAGGCCCAGAGTCAAGCCGGGCCTGTCCCCTGACGAGCGATAACAAATACCCCCAAAAATACCCCCGAATTGTTAAAACATGCTATAAAAAATAGTCCCCAGGCTATTTGTTTGACTATCTTGGAATCTTCCTCCTGTAAGGGGACACGCCCGACTTATGCCTAGAGTCTAGCTCAGCTAGGGAAACGAACTCTATACACCGACGCTTTTTCCGTTCCTGCGCTGGAGTTTGCACAAGAACGCGGATCCTGGTGTATACGGGATCCTGGTGTATACATTCTCCGTTGCTTCCCCGCGAAAGCGGGAAAGAGTATACACCAGACCACCCCGACGTCGCCCCCGACCCTCGAAAAGCCGTAGGATTGACAAACGGCCCGCCACTGGTCATTCGGGTTGACCCAAAAGGGGGTCCAGCGCCAAGGGGGTGATGCAATAGATTTGGTCAATATATTTGTGGGGTTGCAATACATTGGGGGCATGGAATACATTCTGGGCCGCAAATGTATTGCTGGATTTTCGCGTGCAATGCATTCGTCGAAGTACAATAAAATACAATTCTCCGGCGCAATACATTTGCAACACAATTGCCCCAAATCTATTGCACCACCCCCTTTCAGCTGGACCCCCTTTTGGGTCGACCAGAGTCATGCATCCTGTGCTCCTGCTCCCGACCAGCGGCACCATCCTGCCAGGCGGCGCTGCCCTATCGCAGCCCCCCCCCCGGGCGGCAGCGCACCGCCCCCGCGCCGCCCGAGGACTCGAGCCGTGGAGAGCCGCGGCGCGAGGGCCGCGGCTTGCGCGGTGCCCACTGCGCGCGTCTTGCGCGAGAGGGCGCGCGGACGTGGTCGTCGTCGAACGTCGTCGTCGTCGTCGCCGCCGCAATCCCGCCGCTTATCCTCGATCTCGGCCTCAGCGGCCTGGCTTTAGGTCGGGCATGTCCTCCTGCAGGCGGATCTTAGACGACAGATAGAACATTGTCAAAACATAGTGACAACTAGCCAAAAAATACTCAACAGATCGTCTCCCGAATCTTTCCTGCCAATTTTTGAGTATCCCTCCTGCAGAGGGACATGCTCGACTTAAGCCTGGTTGAGAAGAGAAACGCCACACATACCCTCTTGGAGCTCCGCGCGGAACGCCAACAGTTTATGTTTGTGGCGTGTTTTCCCTTTCGACTTCGGAGACAGAGGGGAAGGAGGCGAAAGGGGGAGGCGCCACGATCATCCTGCCGATCCACTCGTCACACTGCCCATCGCGGGCTTCAGGAATGGAGCAAGAGAGCGATACGAGTTGACCTAAAGAGCGCATCAGCTCCAGGGGGAGGAGCAGGAGGAGGAGGAGGAGGAGGAGGAGGAGAAGGAGCAGGAGCAGGAGCAGGAGGAGGAGGATCAGTGGGGAGCGGCAAAGGCGGTGCGTGTGTGGGCCTCCCATGTGGTCCAAACGACCACTGGATGCTACACCATAGATATAAACAACTAGAATATATATATATATATATATATATATATATATATATATGTATAACGAAGCAAAGATCCGGGCAACACCAAACCAAGATGAATCGGGAATCTCTGCGATCCGGCGGTTCTGGAAGATGTACCCGGGACGCGCAGAGACATACGAGCACTAGATATTATCGTTGGAGGCGTGCGTCCGAAACGAGCATACAGTACGAGCATATTGAAGTATACATCGTTTCCCGAGTGGTATGGCCAGAAAGCGCCAGCCACGACGTACATTACCATCAGCTTTCTCGGTGCGCGCGCCGCACCTGGGGGGGAGCGACGCACACGTAGTATTAGCATGTTGAGGTGACGCCGACAGCTCTCTGGCCCCGACCGCAGAGCACGAGGCGTAATAACCTCTCGCACCCGCTGTGGGTCACCCAGGGCATCCCGGAGCCTGTCCCAGGCATCTGCCATTTCGGCATTGCATGGCGTTCGCTCCCCCCATCGCCCCTCTTCAAACGAACACTAGCGTGCAAGTGCTCGCTTGACTTGAGCGATTTTCGCACGTGCAAGTCGCTTGCGGCGTGCTTCAGGTTCAGCCCCCCCAAGCAAACTTGCCGGAGTCTACGAAGAAACAAGCTCCATCGGCGGCCGACTTACGAGCGGCCGT